GGTCCACTCCTCGGTGGCGTCCTTACCACCATCTGGAATTGGCGCGCAACCTTCTATTTTCTCACTATTATCGGCGGTGTCGTACTATTATCCCTATTCATGTTCAAAGATACGTTCAGAAGAGAGCGTAGCTTGACGTATCAGTCGGCGAGGAGGCACGCGATCCGACGTGCCGAAGAGAAACGAGCCAGGCGGGAGGAGGATTCAGCTGATGCTATGGAAAAGGGAGGGAGGGCTACTAGCGTGGATCCTGCAACAGTAAAGGTGACACTGACCGATCTCAACCCGTTCAAACCGATATGGAGCGTTCTCACTCGCAAGAACAACCTCTGCATTCTCTTCCCTTCGGGTAAGTCGGTGTTCGTGTACAATGAATCTATTGACATACTCTGTTATAGCATTGCTATTTGCCTTCCAATACAGTGTATGTTTTACTGCTGCCAGAACCTTTGCCGCTGCCCCGTACAATTATGATCCTCTCCACATCGGCTTGGTTCTGCTCTCGTTCGGTTTAGGTAACCACCCATTTTTCCTCTTGATTTGATTCTTCTAAATACTATCTCCTCTAGGTAACATGTTCGGCAGCGTATTGGGCGGCAGATGGTCCGACTGGAAATACAACAAACTTCGAGTGGCGAATGGGGGACATGGATGGCCAGAGGTGAGTAATTGATCGCTCCAGCGACGCCGTGTAACTGACTATATCTCGTAGATGAGACTCAGAAGCACTATAGCGGTGATGGTCGTACTACCGCCATCCGTCCTTGCGTTTGCCTGGACCTGTCAGAAGCACACTCATATTGCGGGACCAGTCGTGACACTCTTTATCTCCGGCTTTACTGTTCTGTAAGTAAAATTATTATCCATCTTCTCATAACGCTGGCTCATGATTTCCACCCTAGCTTTATTTACAGCAGTACACTCGCCTACGTTGTCGATGCTAACGCGGGTCGATCCACTGCGGCCGTAGCTAGCAATAGCTCTTTCCGTGGTCTTTCGGGGATGATTGCTTCGGAAATTGCAGCGCCATTGCAGGATAGCATCGGGGACGGTGGGCTGTACACTAT